AGGTGAGGCATAAGCATGAAGGCAATGCAAGGCGTAACCTTCAAAGTTTATAAGTAATAAGTTTCGGCATTTAGTTATTAAATAAAATAATAACTAATCAACTAACAATTATAAACATTTTACATTTCATATAAACAAACCAATTTAGAAGAAAGGAAACATCTTAATTGATTTGATCTATAATAGTAGTAGTAGTAGAATTTGATTTGCCTTATTGGTTTTTCTTTTTTTTTTATTTAGGTTATAATTATTGAAGTGTTATTTTCTATTTTTCTATATATTTTAAATTATAAAAATGTATATCTTTCATGGTTTTACAAGGTGTCTGAGGTGAGGTGAGGGGCGTACACCTCAAGGTGAGGCGACCAAAAATCGTTTGGCCTCGGTAGCCTCTTCAAGATATTGCAGGGCAGTAGCCTCAATTTCAATGAGGTGTACGCCTCTCGCCTCAAGGCGTATATCATTGAGGCAGTAGCCTCAAATAATTCTGGTTTAAGGGTGTAAATTTCAATTTCTATTAGGGTAAATGTGTAAAAATACAAAAAAAAAAGGATTTTAAGGTTGGAAACAAACATTTTGGGGTTTTCCCTCTTTTCTTCTTCCAGCTTTGAAATAAGAAGTGAGAACTGCAAAAAAAAAAAAAAAAACCTCTAATGCTCTCCTCAACAGCTCAACCTCCATTCTTCTTCTTTATTTTTGTAATTTTCCTATGGTTCTTGTTTGTCTTGCTGCATAGGTAATTCCAAGGTTTCAGTTTCTATTTGAAAGAGAAACTGAAAACAGAGTTTTGTTTTGAGTTTCCCATCGTTTCATTTCAATATTCAATATAACTTTTTGTTTTTTCTATTTTTTTTTTCAGGTTATAGCACAAAATATAGTTTGTTTGAACTTTGAAGTTTGTAATAGATTAACAGTGACCAACCAAGTGATCAATGACTTATGTAAGTTCTTCTTGTTCTTATTTCTTAAATCAAAATTTTATATGGTTAATCTGCTATTGTTAATTGCTTACTTAGTGTTACACATAATTATTAAAAGTTTAAAATTAAAGTTGTGGCTATGGTTATTTTGCATGCCTTTTTTTTTATTGTCACATGAAGAAGAAAATAAATGGAGTTCGAAACCATGCTTTTAGTGATAAGGGGCTTGCTTAAAAAGAAATGGATGTAATTTGACTGAACATTAAAATTTAGAATTTAGAAAACAGGATTTTAAATTTTGATTTCAGAGTTGAAACTAGGTTTTGATCTTTAATTAGGCTTGAAGCCTTGAAACTAGAATTTAAATTGAAGTATTAGTAATATGTTTGGTTCATTTGGGAATTGGAAAACTTGAATGATAGCAACGTGTAAAAAAGATGGACACAAAGACCATGTATGCATGTGATTAATAGTTAGGGCATGTTTGGCCAACATATGAGCGGCCACATTACCAGAACGAGCAACCCAATTTACTGAGTAGTGGGAGAAATTTCTAATAAAAAGTCTGCAATCTACGATCAACATGTGAATCCGCTAAGGAGCGTGAGAGCCAAACTCCAACAGACTTGTAGTCACAATTCTAGAATCTCCCTCAAGAATGATGGAAGAGAGCCCCAAATCAAAAGCAAACAAAATGGCCGTATGAGCAGTTTTTGCTTCTAATTCTTTTGGAGAAGCTTTAGGAACTTTAATGGATCTACCATAAATAAAAGCACCTGAGTGATCATGGATCACAACACCTAAACCTCCATCTGAAAACGATAAAGCACCACCAAAGTTGATTTTGTGCATAGGAGGGATAGGTTTCTACCAAAAGTGGGAGGAATCATCCAGCCTTGACATGGTAGTATTAGAAATATCCCCATTAATCGACAAAGAGCATCGAATCTCCTCCACTTAACTAATAGAAACAAATTCTAGTTAAATGTTCATAATTGGTCATAACTAGATGAACATGTTCAATATGCCTTACTTGCTAGTTGATGTTTTTAAATTTTAATGAAAGTGTGTCTACTAATTTAAAATTTTGATTTTTTTTGCCTAGTTCTATTGGTAGGAATTTGCAGGTGTGTCTACTAATGGAAGTGTGTCTTCAAAAAAGTTATTGTAATTTTTTATAGGAATTTGGAATTTTGAACATCAAGGATTCATATTTTGTAAATTAGCTACTGGATTATGTCAGGTATGTTCTTGATCCCATCTTCTTTTTATTTTTTTTCACCTTTTCTTTGGTAGTTTAGAATTTGTATTATGGTATCAAATTCTTTATGGTAATTGGTAGTCACTAGTTATTTTGATTATAGCATTGTTTTTTTGATGTTTAGATTTCATAAGAGTAACCTTGAAAAAATTTGAACACATAATTAACGGTTATTGGACTGTTATACATTAAACAAGTCACACATAATTATATAAAATTTAAATTATTTGTTTCTTTTTGTGTTTTTATTAATTATGAACTATGTTTATAATTTTTTTATTTTTTAGTTTGAGGCTTATGCCTCGCATCCGCCTTTAGCCTTTTAAAATCTTGATAATTTTTTTTATTAATTCACCAAGTAATCATTGATACTTAAGGCTTACCCTTTTTACACCTCAGAATACGCCTCACACCTTGAGTCTTGAGGCTTATGCCCCATTATGACAAAGGCTTAAGCCTCAGATCAAAGTTGTGAGGCTTAAGCCTTTTAAAACAATGGGCATAATATCATAACTTAAATTATGCATCAACAACAATTCACTAAATAAATTAAAATTTAATAAAAGTAAAAGTTATTAATTTAAAATCAATTTTAAGGTAATAAAAAAAAACACAACCCGGGTCTAGTATGGGATTGCCTTTACCCTACCTAGGCTCCTCATTTTGACACATCATTAGGCTCTGAGCCTCTAGCCACATCACCATGCCTTCCATTTCATGTTGTAACAAAGGCAGGAACTTACCAAATATTAAACATATAGAATAATTAAAAAATAATTTATTTTGATATTTTTAGTAATTAATTATTCATAAATATATAAATTTTTGAAATTTAATTTATTCATATGAATAATTATTGAACAATCATTAATAATTAATGACATTTCCTAAAAATTTTTAATACATAAATATTAATTTATTATTATTATTATATGAAATTAATTATATATTAATATTATCTAAAATTGATAATTATTACATTAAATTTTCAGATAATTTCAGAAAAGTATTGATATTGAAAATTAGTTTTGGCAATGATGTATTGACATTTTAATTTACATTGGTATTTCGGTCATTATTAAATATTAAATTCGAAAAAATATTGGGGAATTTTATCTATATTTATAATTTCCATAACTATTTAGACAATTTAATATTTTTTAAAAATTATTAAACTGGAAAATTTTAATAATTTCCATAATTAACTATTGGTAATTTACATTGGTTTTTGGTAACTAAATATTAATTTGGAAAATTATTGGGGAACTTTAACTATACTTATAATTTCCATAACTATTCAAAAAATTTAATATTTTTTTTAAAATTATTAAGTTGAAAATTTTTACAATTTACATAATTAATTATTGAAAATTTATATTGGTTTTTGGTAATTACTAAATTGGAAAATTGTTTGAGAATTTTAATATTGATATTTTCATTTGGTAATTATTAATAATTTCCGTAATTATTGGTAATTTACATTGGTTTTTGGTTTCTATTGGCAATTTTAATTTAGTGATTTCCATAAACTAATTTTCATGTTTTTTTGGTAATTTAATTTATAGTAAAGTTAATTTTAAAAAAAAATTACTTTACTGAAATTTTTTCTTTTTCATGTTTTTGGTGATTTTCCCATGCATTGCATGAGGCCCCACTAGTAATTTATTGGGTTCAGTTTGGAAAGAATACAAACACAAATACATACAATACAAATGAATACAAAATATAAGGTTTTGCACTCTACATTAGGCTCAGTTTGGAAGGAGTACAAATACTCAGCCCCGTTTGACATGTCTTTTTGCACGATCTTTTGGTTGTTTACAAGCCGGGTAGACCACGCTGCGGTCTTTTTCCATTTGATACATAATAGATCTAACCGCCAAAAGTTGGTGTGAATATGTGAGAAGCCCATTTTGGGCTGATTTCACGGGCTTGAATAACACATCACTTTAAGCAGCTAAGCTGTAGCGTACCAAACACTACATAACGACCAGAATAATGGCTAAACAGTAAACACCACCTAACTACCATTATGTCGCCTCCTTCTCTAAATGCATCTAAGTGTCGATCTCTCTCCCTCTCTAAATGCGGGACTCTTTGGTGTCTTCTATCCGTTGGATTGATATCGAGGTGATAAAAGGAGAAAATCATCTCCTTGCTCAACTCCGTAAGCTGTTATTCTATTCCATTCAGGCCTCTCTTTCCTCCTCTTCTTTTTCTTTTGGGCCTTTGGGGTAAGATCTCTTTCCCTTTTAGATGTATAGGAAAGAAAAAGGGTTTTAGGTTTTGAGATATGAGTGTGATGGATAAGTGATTGGTGCTTAAAGCTCAAGGGGGTATGCGTAACGCGCACAAAAGTAACTGATATGAGATTCTGTCCAAAATAGAAGACGCCTCTCTAGAGTTCAGAGTCTTCAGACTCCAATGCTCTGTATCCGTTTCTGTCCTGGCATTCAATTCCTTCAACCCCACTTTCTCCTGAAATTCTGTGAAAAATGAATTGGACCCAACTTCCATTATTTCAGATTTCAGCCAAGAAAAGATCCATAGATCCCACTAACAGGAAACAGATAAATAGAAGGAAAGTTCTTTATGGGGTTACTTGGGCTTCATCTTCCATCCTGGGGTCCTTGTTTGATCATCAAAGCACATATATACACAATTACTTATTCATTCATGTATAGTTGTATACATGCAGTTGACAGTTGATTCAATTATTTATGGGTTCTGTCATCTGTGGGGAACTGGGAAAGAATCCCTTCACAGTGATTAACACCACAAAAAAAAAAGAAAAAAAAAAGAAAAAATCAGAGTTGCAGTTGGAGAAATAAACCCGTGAAATTTCCATGAATTCTTTCAGGGGGGAATCAGAAATGAGAAATTGACTGGAAAGTAGAAACCCATTTAGCCAAAGTAAAAAAATCAAAATCTTGGAGGGCCTAATCTCCAATCAATGTCTGTGTCTAGTTATCAGGCCAAGGCTGTGATATTTACAAATGGAAGAAGCAGAGCTACAGATTCCTCTTCGTTTGTTTGGACAAACAGAGTTAAGGGGGAAAAAGGACTACAGTTACAAATTAAACCGTTCGAAAAAACTTTGAAGGATTCATCAATAGGAGCAGGCCATTCTCTGAACACGATCTCTGAGAATTCCATTGTACAAAGCCATTCGATTTCCGGGCATTCCTTGGACGACGCTGCGGTTCACAGACCTGCAAACTTGATTCAAACTCAACGATTTCTTGTGGTGCTCCCTCCGGAACTCCTCGCTGTTTCCAATTGGATCAACTACGTCTTCTGCAAAGTGAACCCTTTTCTTCTTCTTGTTTCTCTTCTTCCCATCTGATCAAACACATACCCAGAAGGAGAAAAGAAAAACAGAAACAGTCAAGAAACTAGTTCAAGAAATAGAAAGAGTGTCAAATAGGAAGAGGAAAAACTGTCGAAATAAGACCTCGTACCAGAAGAGATGCAAGACCGAAGAACTGGAGCAGTGGAGTCGGAATTCCGATCGACGGCGAACTGGGTACCTGGGAGTGGCTTCTGTCGACAATAGGCTAGGAGGATTACAGTGCCCGAGACCGCCATGGCTGTTGCAAAGACCACTCCTTGGGAGCTCAAAATTGAAGACATGATGATGGATTAAGATTAACCCGGAAGAAGAAAGAAAGAAAGAACGAAGAAGAAGAAGAAGAAGAAGAAGAAGAAGAAGAAGAAGAAGAAGAAGAAGAAGAAGAAGAAAGGGTTGTTATTTTTCGTGGATTCAACGATGAGAAAGCGTTGCAATTTACACGTGAAACAGAGATAAATGGAAGGGTTGAGTATGAAGCAGAAAAGGTAATGTAATAATTCTGTTCCAAATAAAAGACTCAAGTTAATATTTAAATATTTAATAAATTATAATAATAATAGTAAATTAAAAATATAAAATCTTTACAGTTCTAGATTAACGTAAGCATCTGGATTTCTCGTGTCGTCAGTATTTCTGAACAGGAAGAGGAAGGTGTCTGTCTGACCTTCGCTCGTGCACCGCACGGCAAGTCGGCAACTCCAAGGGGTCACCCTCTCCTTTCTTTTGACAAAATAGAAATTAGAAAATACTATATTAATTAATATGAATTGTCCTTTTTTACCCCTGAAGCCAGTGATATCCCAGGATTGATACCTAATCATAGGACTGGCTAAGGATTGAGCAAACATGAATTATTCCACCGGTACTCTCCAAATGTCTCAAATTATGAATACTTTGGATATGCAAAAATCATGTATTTATGGTTGTTAATAATGCATACTCTTTCTTTCTTTTTTTTCTAGGTTAAATATAAAGTTAGACGCCATAATTGACATCTCTAATATTATTTAAATTTTAATGTGATTTTGATAAAAACATCTTTTGTGTGATTGGTAAATGCATTTATAAAATGTAATTTAATGAAAATTAAGTTAATCATACCAAGGTTTTAATGGGATTTATTCATCATCATCGTTCATGCCTTATCCCAATTATTCATCATATTAATACCAGTATTTAATATATCATAAATATTCATTTTATACTATGAATAATAAGATTTTTTTTTTCAATTAATAAATTCACAAATAGATAGATTAGGATAGGTATTAACGAGATTGGATTCAGTCCCTACAAAACGGTGTTCACACCATACTCATAGCCACTTACATCTATGCATTAGAAATATTTCTCCATTAATAAAAACATATAAGTACGAAAATATTCCCAATACATATTTGCAAATGGTTGTGAATATGATGTGAGTACCATTTTGTAAGGACTAAATTCGAGTTCAGTATTACCATTTAAACCTATCAACAAGTTGAAACTCCCAAATTTTATTATTTTGGTGGCCTTGAAAATCGATATATTTTTAAAGTTAAAATTAATATATATTATATGATACGATACAATACACGTCAATATTTTAAAATCATATCAGTATCGATCTATATTGATCAATAGAAGTGTGGAATGAATAAACACCAAGCCTGTTCCACTTATGCTACGTATTAATTTATAACAAATAAAGTAAATATTGACCATATATTTCATGTATATTAAATTCAAATACTATATATCATATATTGCATATGTGAATACACGTAATCTTACACTAATTAGAATGGAGATCAATACTACATACAATTCAACTGAAGCTTTATAATGCTCTATAACCCACTCGTGGACAACAGGACAATATTAATAGTTTCTTGAATTAAAGATATTTGAAATTTTGAACTTTGGATTAGACTAGCTAAGAGATGCGTTTGGTTTGATTAATAGAGATTTTTCTTATAATTAATAGAGACCGAAATAAGAAGTTCGGTCAAAGAAAGTGCACACCAAAATAAAGTCAAAAGAAAGTAGACTGTGGTCACAGTTCGTGGAGATGGTACAATGCATATGGAGTTGTAAACTGTAAATTAAAGGGAAACAGCCATATCAGTGTTGTCAGATTCGGTTCTTAACCATTTTGTCACAGGTTGAACAATTGGACCATCCGGTCCGGTTCCATCACTCCACTCACTCATATAAAAATATAATTAATGATAAATAATAAGTTGTTTTAAAATTACTTTTTTGTTTATAAAGCTACAAAGGGCTTCAGTCATCACTCTTCTTTTGATATTTTTCATAGGCTTAGTGTTTTGATCCTAATCAATATATCTAGCGGAAAAGATATGGTATGGAAAGAGTTTTGAGGAATCAAAACCCACCCATGAATTTTGATAAATAAYACCTAATTGGCTATCATAATATTTATGATTCTAATTGACTTGATATCATATCTTTTCCATATCATAGTTGAACCCTATATATTAATATGAAATGGGTGTTCTCTTCGTGCATTAAATGGAATTTACTCATGTGAGTAGATTCATGGTTTCACATGCAAGCATTTTGTGAGTGTATTTGTTGGCTTTTCGGAGAAGCTTTGTCTTCGATAATGCTTCCACGACAAACAAAAGGGGTGCTTGCATCATAGAACATGTTTCCATCTCTTGTTTCCTGTGCGAAACCGCTCTAGAAAATTCGTCCACCCTCTCAACTGTTCCGCTCATGCTTGCATGTATGATACATATCCATATTTCTCTAACTCCATCTCTATCTCTTGTCTCCTATGCAAAACCACTCTAGAAAATTCTATCCCTCCTGTGTCTCAACTGTTCTGCTGAGTCTGTGCTTTGTTCTTTTGGCTCTTGCTTTCTTGGCCATATCGTTTAGTCATGGTATGTAGGTTTTAGAGATGGTTATGATTGATGTTTCAGCCAAAGATCCACCACCACCGCTAAATGGGTTTAATGATCAAAGGTCGTGGTGGAGCTAGTGCAACTTTACGAAAGTATTTCTAGCGCACATTATGCCATCCGTCTGGGTTCCCTTGAATCATCAGAGATTGTACCAAAGCCATTTTGTCTCAAGGGACTATACTAATACAACCATTCTTTGGTGGAGAGGCATGAACTCATTCAAAGATAAATACAACATAGTCCTCTAGCTCACGCTAAGCTTGGAAGCCTTGGACATTTACTGGTGACTATCTCTGTTGTGGGAGCCAACCATGATTATCCCTTGTGCAACAGGTTTGCATCTTAGAGATGGATATACTGAGGCACAGAAACTTGGAATTCTATTCTGCAATGGCCTGCACGGGTCATAGCATGGAGCAGCTGATGTGCAAGGGTATGTAAGCCATTCTTTTCAAATTCGACACAACTTTCACTTCTCCCAAACTCAACCTATATTTAGAATCATTCATGTATTTGAATCATGATATAATAGGAAACCACACCAAAAAGTCCCAACTTTTTAAACTTACTTCCCCATCCCACCTCTCTCTTCCCACTTGCAGTTCTAACTCAATTTTATAGAAGAAAATAGGGGCAAAATTGCCAAAGCATAGTAGTTCACTCTCAGTTTTATAGAGCAAAATAGGGGCAAAGCATAATCATCCCAGGTATGCATTTTCGGCATATGTGGGTCGGTTTTAATGAAAATAATTACTGACGTCTGACGATGCCATTGGATCCATTTGGTAGCCAAAACATGGTGTTTATTCTCATTAGGCTGCATTTGGTAGAGATGTAAAATCGAACCGGATACACCCCGATTCGATTTTGCAGACATTTGGTAAACATGTAACTTTACACCAAAAATCTCTCTCTCTCTCTCTCTCTCTCTCTCTCTCTTCTCCTTCTCTCCTAACAGCAGGTGGTGTTTATCGGTAGCATCGGAGCAAATCCAGATGGGCGTTCTCCTTCACTGCTACCACCTCCGATGGGGTTTGATTGGGGGAACTTAGAGGCCGATTCAGATGGGCGTTCTCTGCTTGGGCGTTCTCCTTCACCGCCACCACCTCCGACGGCATTCGATTAGGGGAACTTGGAGGCCGATTCAGATGGGTGTTCTTTGGTTCTAGGCGTTTTGCTCCTCCATGCTTGTAGCATCTCGTCGTTCCTGGGCATTTTGCTCTCGTTGGTGGCTCTGTCTTTTTGCCCCTTCTCTTTTTTGAGCTTCTGAGAAGGGAGATCTTTACACCCCGGTTCCACCCTTCTCTCTCTCTCTCTCTCCCTCTCTGATAAATCTCTCACTGCAACAAGATATAACCAAACAGGACGAGTGTAAATGGGCAAAATGGGCAGTCCATATTTTATACTCTCACCGAACCATTGTTTCTCAACTCCATCGGTGTAAAAGTGCATTTACTCCGAAAACAAATGCAGCCTTAGTTTATTTGTTTTGCAAGTTTTTGGCGCAACCAAAACAGGGGTGGTGCAATCATTTTTGTATTCTCCTAGGCATGTCTTCATAGCCCATGTTCATCATTTTTATGAAAACAGAGGTCAAAGGTGTTAGTAGATCTATTTGGTAGCCAAAACATGGTGAAAAATCACCTCTCTATCGCTACTATGGTCGCCACATTGAGCGACCGCTATAGCTTTTAAGTGGGTAAAGAAGAAGGTTTTAAATACTCGGGTTTTATACAATTGGATTTGGACCCAAAAACTAAATCCAATATTCGAATGTGATTGGTTTATTCCTTGTGGTTTAGATTGTTTTCTTTATCCAGTCAACTCCAGTCTTGATTATTTTTTTGATCAAATTACTTAAATTACTTTCTAGACCAATTTTTTTATCAAGTCAAAGCCTGCACAATTTTACTGATTTGGTTCATGAATTACTAATAATTAGCAATGATTTTTTAAAATCCTTAGAAATCAGTTGTAAATTTTGAATTATTGGTGTAATTAGTGAAAATAAAAGGTGAAAATTATTAGTTGTGAGAAAAATAGTAATGTCAATAATAATTTGTTAATTTACAATTAGCAAAATTCTTTTTTATTTTAGTAATTTGATAAGTATGGAAATCCCAGTAGTTATAGTAATTAACTAATTTTATTATTCACTAATTATTTAAAAATTTACAAAATTATGTAAAATTTACAACAATAATTTTGACAATATGATAATTTTCAAAATTTTAATGTTATTATTATTACATCATCAAATTGTAATAATTGTAAAATCATTTCACAAATATTGAGGTTATTAATAATAACCTTAATGATTGTAAAATTATTTCAAAACAATTGAGGTTATTAATAATTAAAAATTAATAACAATAATTTTTAAAATGATTTTACAATTATTACAAAAGAACTATTGAAACATATTGGTAATTATATTGTTATACATTGATAATTTCATAATGATGGTAATTTCATTAATTTATATTATCAATTTATTAGTCATCATTAAAAATAATCATATATAATTTTAAGTTGTGACTTATCTATAACTATTATTTGTGGAAAT